CTGTTGGAATCATTTTTTTAATGATAAACTAGGAAGAATGTCTAATTGAACAAAATCAAAAGTAATGTACAAAGATTCAGGCTTTATTTGGGACAGCTTTCTTACTACTTCTTGAAGCAGCTTTTTAGTATGAAAATTTTACTTTTTATACTTAAAAAGCTGCCTCAAGAAATGGTAAGAAAGCCTTCCCAAACAAAGCCTCAATCTTCATTCGAGACGGCTTTTTTAGTGCTTCATTTTTGTCATAAAAAGTTGCTTTAAGAAGTAATAGAAAGCCGTCCCAAAAGAGGCATCACTGCATAAAAGAGAAACACCAAAATAAATTAGCTCACTTGAGAAATTCAAATCAGAAGAAAGATTCACCAAACAACAAGAAATAATAAATCCTCAGAATTCTTCCTGAAAATTCCAGGACTTATCTAAATCAAATTTGATACTTTCAGAATTCTTTCTCTTTCAGGAGGAATTATGAGGTATGGACGCAGGATCTAGATATAGGTCCGGATATCCAATTAAAATTTGACAAGTGGACTGCACTTTGACTGTGATTTTTTACTGCGCTTTGACTGTGCTTTACCTGTGCTTTTGGCGCACTTGACTTAAAATTCCGCGGACACGTGTACATTTCACATGTCAATATTTTATTAAAGTCTGGATGTATCTCAACGTCCGGTGTCCAGACCTAATAATTTTCCCTCTTTCAGAGCTCTGTTGAGAGATAAACAAGTTGAATAACATCAATCCAAATCACAGTTTCCATGTGATAAGAAAATGTGGCTATTTCCTTCATTCCTGATAGTTCACATGAAAGCAAGAAAGAAAGAATAGAAAATGGACATCTAATATGGAAGAGAGAGCACACAGTTGATTTTTCTAAGTCTTCCTCCTTTATATAGTAAATTACCTTTCTAAGCAGCCAATCAAGAATGAACTTTATCAAATTCTAATATCTTCTCTGAAGCTTCTTGGAAGTAAAGTATGTGAATGCAAGTTTTTCAACTATGCAATTGAGAAAGACAGCAACTTGTTTATCAAAGTTACCTTTGTTTCAAAATAAATGATAAAAGATTTAAGGAAGTTGATGCTAAGCCTCAAATGTCTTCATTCATAAAGCAAAAAGGTTTAAAGATAGTGAGTTTTTTTAGAAGAGCGCCTCTTAAATAATATCACCCACAAATTGAGAATATAAATATATTTGCAAGTAGTTCTAAAAATGAATGTCAAGAGTCTTGTAACGCATATAAATATGGGTCAAAATATATTGTAATTTTTCATTAATAAATAAAATATTTTTGTGGTGAAGTACTCTTCATATATTTGATAGTGGTTGTGGCTTCAAGTAGTTTGCTTATCATTGGTGCTTATTACTCCATAAGTATCATCTAAAACCAATACAGAAGCAATCAAAATATTAAAACTCTAAATACTTCCACATAGCTCTCAGCAAACTAAGGAACACTAGAACCTTATCTTGTTCCTTACACTTCGACATCCTTTTAACTCCACCAAACACTACAATCAACTCCAACTCCAGATCATAAGCTCGCATCATAATCTAATCCAACACCAACATTTCAGCCATTTATCATATATAAAAACTACTTCACAAAATAATTTTTCAAATTAGCACAAACTGGATTAGTATTAGCATTTCTACCAGTATACCAATTTAAACATCTCACCATTCCACCACAACCTTAAGAACATTTATGTAAAAATTAACCTAATAAAATCATAGCCTTTTGAAGCTATTAATCTTACCTAAAGGCTATTCACCAATATTAATAAGACCATGAAGAAGATAGAGAATGGAAGGAAAATAATGAAGACAATGCAGAGGTGACTGAGCTTGTTAAAGGAAATGAAGGATAACGTACATGACCTGCATCATCGAAAGATTAACGCCGTGTTTGGTACAGCTTTTTTATTGCTTCTTAAAGTGACTTTCAAGTATAAAAATTAAAAACTTTTAACTAGAAAGTTACTTTAAGAAGCAGTAAGAAAACTATCCCAAACAAAAACCTAAAACTCACGAAACCATACAGTCTCATGTCATTCCATGTTCTACAATTGCCACACTATTTGGAAGAAAGGTTGCAATATCATTATAGATAATGAAAGTTTTCAGAATGTTGAATCCAAAGCGTTAAATAAATCTTCCAACTGAAGACCATCCATAACCATAGAAGATCGAAAAGATAAAAAAGGGATCGAAGGCAACATTAACCACAAGGTATACTGAATACAGCCACGTATTGGCAAGTTTTATCAAGATGGTATCATGTGTGATGTTGTACAAGTGGATGAATGTCATATTTTACTTGTCTGACTATGAAAATATGATTTTAATACAACACATAGAAAAAAGATAATAAGCTATGATGCACCGACACTTCTCTTCAAAGAGACATGGCTGACACACTTCCGACACGTGTTGGACACACCAAATATAGGTTTAATTAAAAAAAAAATGGAGACGCATGTCATAAATAATTTATGAAATTTGTAAAAAGTAATTTCTTGTATTTCAAAATTTATTTACAAAAAAAAAAAAAAAAACTAAAATCTTAATTCCTCTCCACAGCCTCAAATCAATCACTCATACTTAATATCCCAATCTCCAAACATTCTCATATTCATTTATTTATGGTAGGCCACAGCTAAGGTTTCACAACAACGCTTGATGCCATCTTAACATCGATGTACGTCCACGACCGCTACAACATCAATATTTAAAATCATCTCAACATTTAAATTTTGATGCTATCTTGAATTGATGCTCAATGCTAGCAATTTAGACAATCACAATCATGCGCCCGCGCTGTCTTGAAAAAGTTATTTTTATGGTTTTCTCCATTTCCATCTCTTCAAGCATTGAACGGAATTCACTACTCACCCTTGCTCCATCCTGATCCTCTCCTGCATCAAATCTCTTGCATTTCTTGAAAGTTATTTGTCATGGTGACCTCTTTCCTTACTTGAATTTATTCTAACTCATGAACTCACATATTCAAGTAGTCATTCAGTTATGATAGAAATCACATCAGAAAAGAGCAATATATTTCAAAGGAAAAAAATTCATTCAAAGATCAAGCATAATATGTTAGTGCACAAAGATGTAGATGGACTACTATTTATAGACTTGAGTTAGAGCTAGCCCAAAAGCCAAAGGGAGAGAGGGGAGGAACATTCATGGATGTGGAAGGGGAGGAGTAACAGAGGGAGTGTTTTGATTTGTTACTATTAGACTTCAAAATTTTCAAGAGGATTCTAAGATAGCCATTGATTGGATATATGTGAGTAAACAATTTTTATGATTTTAAAAAATAAATTCATAGGAGAATGCCATTTCAAAATAGATCTCTCATTTTATTTAAAAATCAAAACATTTTTTTCTTACTATTACTTAATAATACATATAGATATACATATTATCCCCACCTTATTCTCTTTCTAAAATATAGACTCATTTAAAATTATAAATATTCCGCACTATCAATTCATTCAACACCAATAATTATGATGCAAGGCTACTTTATAAAACTACTATAAAACTAAAGCCTCTAATCATCAAACCTTTAGGCAGAACATGACATGTTGTTTCCCTCTAACATCATAATCAAACAAAATATAGAAGGTGATGGGCTATCTACTCATGCCCCCACTCACATTTTGCTATTGAAATAAGAAAATAAAACAAATAAAATAAAATCCCTTCGCTAAAAGTATAAAGTCTACAGAATTGGAAGTTGAAGTGGCCAGCAATATGAATCCTTACAAAATACAAGGCCATTGCATCATCATCAATCAGAGGACAATAATATAATTCATATTAGGAATGCAGGAGACTTTCTTGCCACTACTTGTCCATTTAAATAGCTTGCTTTTGTCATCTTATCTTACTTGCCTTTATTTTAAGAACGAAGTGTGATGTAAGCAAAGCGATTTCATCGAAGGCCTAACAATTTGATTGTCTCATTGCTTGAAAGTTCATGTACCAATCACATCATTCTACTCCTTTACAACTCCTTTTAATGATTTAAATATAAAGTGTTAAGAGATACTGTGCTTCAAAAGAAAATCTTCGTCACATAAGTTTTTGATGAATTGAATTAATAGTTTTCTTTTGAAAAAAGAATGATATTCTTGCAAATTTAATTGATTCTTCTATAAAAATAAGATCAAATTTTTTGATATGTAAGTATTTTTTTTAAAGGATTCATGTCATGGTTATTTGACAAGTTTTACGCTGGCTATCTACTATCTAACTCAACCCTCAACTTTTCTCATCCAGTACTTCTTCGGACCTGGCAACGGCAATGTTAAACGAGAATTTAACTTTTAAGTTTTAACAGGACACAATGGAAAAAAAAGATTCATATAGCTGACCCCACGTAGTGGCACAAAAACTTGATGTTGTTGTTGTCGTCGTTGTAAGTATTTTTTTAAAGTGTAGTATTACTGATAAACAAAATCAAATCTGTAAATGTTTTTCTATTCTCCTTTCTTCAATAACTCATATAAGTATTCAGATCACTAATGCACAAAAAAAAAGTAAATTTATTCAGTGAGTATAACATTAATAAATTCAGTATAAAATTTGTTAAAAAATCATGTTGTATGTTGTTGCTGTATAATAACATTAATCAATCAAGTCCACCCACCCTATGTAAAACGGATAGAGCACAAAGAATTAAAAAGCCAATAGTTTATTACAAGACCTTGCAGGTACATTGATCAAACTGAATGCAATTACAGCTCATAGGCCACATACAGACAGGAACACACAACCAAACACTCAACAATATCGCCAATTACACAGTAGATCATTTGTTCAGCGTTCTTTCAGACTAAAACAAACTAAATTCTGAAAATATCACCTTATTTTCAGAATAAAACATGCATAGACTTTATAGATTATACAAATATCATAATTTAATTTCATACATGATGTTCATAACAGTGATAAACCAAAAAGAACAGAAACTGCATGCCCTTATCTAATAGAACTGGATCATTTCAGAAGAAGCCATAATAGGCTGGTTCTTGCACAGAAAACTCCACAGGTTAATGAAGTTATCAGGAATCATCATATGAGGTTCACTAGTGTTGCCATAAAAGTTCATGTTTTGAACGATTTCATTAAGGGAGTTGAGCCTGGAAGTGAGCTCCATCATCTGTGTTCTAAGCACTGAGTTTTCAGCCTCAAAACTCACATAGTTTTGTCTGGTAAGATTAAGGATGGTTAAAATCTGACCGTTTTCCTTCTTCAGCAGGCTTACCTGTTCTATTAGATCCTCGACGTGCTTCTGCTTCCTCTCCCTTGACCTCCTAGCCGACTGTCTGTTGGAAAGCATTCTCTTTCTCTTTTTCTGATCCATCTCAGGCAGCAAATCTGTTTCTTGGCTGGATGACACAGATGGTGTTCCAGTACTGTAGGATGCTATTTAAGAAAAAAGGAAAGAAGATCTCTTTTTTTTTAATGCTTATGTTGTTACTTCAGCTGAATACTAGCTATAGATCAGATGAAGTAGTTGAGAGTGGGAATCAAAGCAAGCTCATGAAACACATAGAACCAGTAGAGGAAAACCACTGAAAAGGATTGAACAAGATGACTCCTTCGCCGTAGAGTAGAGTTTATCATAAACCCTGAGAGCAGGATCTCACTTAGGATAGGCGACATCAATTGAAAACATTAAGAAGGATGCGGCATATGGGTTGAAGATAACTGAAAAAGAAACTACTAGAAAATAAGTTTCGGATTTTTCGAGAAAGACGTGATTTTTATGCAGAAATCAAGGTTGAATATTAACAGAAATCTCTCTTGGTATGGGAAAGAGCAGAGAAAAAAGGTGAGGAGGAAGATCGGGGAAGAGAGGGAGGAGGAGCGGAACCTCAGCCCTTAGAAATAAAAGGCCCAGCTGGGTAGGGAAAGGAGGAAAGCTTAACAGGAGAGGAGTGAAGAGGAGGAAGAGGAATTTGGTGATGAGAGGAGGGTGGAATTTATAGAATAAAAATAGAAGTAAAGATGAAGGAAAATTGAAATAAAGTAAGAAAAAAAAGAGGAAAAGTTGTTTGGAGTTTTCACTTTGGAATCTCCAATAAGAAGTAGTTGAGACATAGTGGTGATGTTGGCAAGTGGAGGCTTTAGGGGAGAAATTGTTAGGTGAGTGCAATTCATAATATAAATCAATATAATATTTAAATTTTCTATTTTATACTATCATAAAATTGACCTCTCACGTGTGAGCATAGAAGAAAGTATTTTCCCTGCCAGATTCAATCTCAGTTCACGAGAGATTATTCTGTGCGGACATCGAATATAGTTTATCGTTCAGAGACAAATCAGGTGCAATCACGTCATCTAATACCGAGCAGTGTCGAGCTGCGGTACCGAGTAGGGGGTAACGTGACACATTTTCATTGGGTTCTGAACGGCGTTCGGTTTCCGCACCGAATAATTTGCCCATTGAACTGGCTTCACATGACTTAGCATCACACATGTGACTTGCTGCCACCAATTCTATAAGCGCAAATCATTTTCTGTAATATTTACTGAACAATTCTTAATGAGAAAAATTGTTTTTTCTTTCAGCAAGATTCTAGCTGGTGAGAAAGCTCAGGGTTGATTGAATCCTGTGGCTGAAAACTCTAAGAAAACAACAAACCTCCCTCTGTTGTTCCTTCCTCCATCCTTTCTGCTGTGTTCTTCTGAATTTCTTATTGTTATTCTTGGCCTTTTCTAGAATTTACTTCCATTAGTGGTCACAGTGAAAGTAAGTTATTAATATTTAAAATTAATTGTAAATGGAATGTCATTTTCATGGTGGTTGTTTCTGTGGGCCTCGCTTTGGATGGTGGGTTCAGCTGATTTCTAAGGCAGCACATAGAATCAAATCATTCTAGATATTGAATCTTAATTTCAATCGTCATCATCATTTTTTTCTCAATTATTTTGACTTGATTATCATATAAAATATTAACTCTATTATTATGCATATTTTTTATATTATTTTAAGCTTAATTGATTTTCTTTTCATCTCAAAAGAAATGAAGAGAACATCGTAGAAACTTTCAGGCTTCGTTTGGGACGACTTTCTTCACTACAGGAAAATCATTTATTACCGGCGGTTAGCATTAGATTTCTGGCGGTTTTGTAAAACACCAGTGGCTTTTCGGCGGTTCAAAAGTCACCGGTAAAAACCGCGTAGGAAACCTTTTTCTGACGGTTTTTTTCCGGCTGTTTTTTTCACCGGTGGATTTCATGCGGTATGAACCACCGGTGGCGTACCGGCTGTCGCTGGTATGGTTATCGTCGTTCTAACAGCGTAGTCCGCCGGTGATTTACCGGCGGTTGACCGGCGGTCATAACCGAAGGATTTGCCAGTGGTGAGACCGCCGGCGTATTGCCGGACATCGTCGGCGGTAAATACAGGCGATTTTAGTAAACTTCCAGCGGCTATGGTTAGCCATCCGGTATTGAAGTTTCCGGCGGCCAAACCGCCGGTTGGCCGTCGGAAACCTGTAGCATTTGAAAAAAAAAATGATAGCCTCCCATCTATTTTACTGATTTTCACCCTAAATTCTAAACTCACACAAAAAATACAATAATTTTCACAAATATGAGCAACACGCCACTATAATCAATCACAACAATTATCACAAATGTATTCATTAAAACAAATCAACTCATAATAAGTTCATAACCAAACAATAAGTTAAACCAAATAAGTTCATCATAAGTTTAAACATAAGTTCATCAAATCAAATAAGTTTACAATAAGTTCATCAAACAAAAAAGAGTACTAGTTCTCCTCCGTATCCTCGCTGTCTGGTGATGCATGTGGCTGCTCTTGCTCTTTATTCTTTTGATTTTCATCTCTATAGAATCGCAGCTCTACTTGCATCTCATTTTGAACATTTTTTATCTCTTCTATCTCTCTCGTAAGCGCTGCAACCCTCTGGCTTACACTTTCTTCAGCTCCACTAGGATCATAAAATGTTGAGGTGGATGAGCTATCCTCATAAGCATAGCCTTGTGAACCCAAGCCATATACCCTCCCTCTCTGCCTTCCTCCAACAACATCTGACCATGTATGATACTCAGAAATATGAGTCAATTCTGAAGATGATCTCTCACCAATGGACTGACGACTTTCCCGAGCTCGTATAAAATCATCATGCGAAAATAAATCCATAAAATATATTGATATTAGAATGAGTTTTATTATAATAAATTTATATTCCCAAACTCCAAAAAATTATACTCACATTTTTTAGCCTTTTCATCAACCCACTAATTTTCAGCAAGATGTTGATGAGTTCTCGTACACAACTCCAACGGTGTCGGCTCCCGGCTAAGAAACTCTTTCTGAAAATATAAGATATATTTATAATAATATAAATATATTTATTAAACTAATTTAAAGCTTTTACCAATCGTCATCTATGTTCCGTATGAGGAACAGATCCACCAGTATGAAGAGAGCTTCCTAAACCCCCACAGTTAGATGCTCGATTTTGTTTATTCTGCTCTCTTATTTTTATGAACTCATTCTTAATCACCTACACAAAGGAGAAGTCATTCCTATGGGTGAAAATTAAAAATAAAAAATAAAAAATAAAAAATAAAAAATGCAAACCTACGGGACTCAGACGACGGATTCAAGGAGGAGTTGGCGAGATCTTCGGCCTTGCTTTGATGCCGGAGAGGGGTCGACGAGATCTTCGGCCGGAGGGAGCTTGTCGGCGGCCGAAGGGAGCTTGTCGGCGGTCGGAGGAGCATCTTGATTGCACGAGAGGGCAGAGGAGACGGGGCGACTGTCGGAAGGGAGAGAGAGGACGATGTGAGCAAATGAAATGGAAGGCTGGGGACGACTTATTTTAGGGCTTTTTCCAGCGGCGTTCCCACGGCCGGAACAAAATCACTTAACACCGGCAGTTAAACTGCCGGTAATAACTAATGCCGGCAGAATAACCGGTGGTTATTTAACCGCCGCTAATTCTGGCGGCGGTCATTTAAAAAACCGCCGGTTAAATCGCCATTATTACCGGCAATCACATAATCGCCTGTCAGAATCGCCAGTAATTCATGAATTTTCTGTAGTGCTGACTATTTTTCAAAGCAACTTTCTAGTACAAATATTTTTATTTTTGTATTAAAAAACTACTGTAAGAAGCAGTAAGAAAGTCGTCCCAAATGAAGCCTCAGTCTCCGAAACGAGCAATCATATTTAAAATAAAGATGGGAGATATTCTCAGCATTCATTTGGCACATAACACAGATAGGGGAAACATAAATATTCTGAACAAGAAGGAATTCTAATTGCATATTTCTTCTTGTGTCAAACCTGCAAAGCCCAGTGAACTTTCTCTAGTTCTTGACCCAGAAACCAAGGAAATTCTTAAGTTTGAGCTTATAATTGCTCATCCAAGAAATCTGTTATGAACTGGTTGAAATTATAGGGATGGCAAGTAATTTATGGCACAAAGCAGGAAAATTATGAGACCCATTATGAAATATGAGTGAGTTTGAGAGTTCATTAAGGTTTCGTTTGGGACGGTTTTCTTATTGTTTCTTAAAGCAGCTTTTTAGTATAAAAATTAAAATCTTTTTAATAGAAAGCTGCTTTAAAAGGTAGCAAGAAAATCGTCCCAATCGAAGCCTAAAAGATCAGAGATTAAGGGCTGTGGCTGAAAATACCAAACACCATCTCGTTTTTCAGATTTTTGAAAATTTCCTTTCTTCTTCATGCATTATTGAGTTCAAATCTCCATATTTTTTTTCTTCTTATGTGGTTTCTAAGAGAATTGATACTTTCACTTTTTATTTCTTTCTTGAAGAAAAGAAAGAAAGAAAGAAAGTGGGAAGTGAGGTGTCTACTTCAAAACTGAAAAACATGAAAGCTAAGAGGCTCTTTTGAGATCATTTTTTTTAAAATACCTATTTGATTTGTGTATTTGAGCTATATATTTTAATAAATTAAATTATTTTTTAAATAATAAAAATAACTTATAGATATTATTTTACTATTTTTATTATTTTTTAAGTGGAAGTCAAATAGGGGTGTCAAAAAATGATCCGACCCGCCAACTTGATCCGAACCGAAAAAATATGGGTTTGGGTTGACCCTTTTAATAAACAGGTTGAGTTTGGATTGACATGTCATTCCCTATTTTGACCAGTTAAATTATTTTTTTGCTTAATTTTTTTTATTTAATGGCTATATAATCATTTTTATTAATTAATTTAAATTTAATGTTAAAAAACTATAAAAAAATTAAAACAGCTTATTGGGTCAAGATTAGGTCATTTGGGTTACTAGCGGGTTGGGTTTGGATCCACATTTTGACATGTTTATTAAACAGCTTAGGTCTGAGTTGACTGGATTCAAGCCAAGTCAATTTTGAGTTGGACCTGAACCCGACCCATTGACCCATCTCTCTCTCTCTCTGTCTCTCTCTCTCTCTATCCCTATCTTCATAATAATTTGAACTTTTCAAATAATTTTAAATATAAATATTTTTTTTTTATTATACATCAATAATCAAATTTTCTTTTCAAAATTGTATTTTTATCTAATTTCCTTTTTAATTGAAATATTTTATTTTTGAATTACATTCAATCACTTGCTACTGATTTGTTTTTTATTAAAACTATTTAATATGCTTCTTATTTAAAAATTAAAATATTATAAATTTATTATAAAAATATAACAAAATACGTTGACATAAAAACAAATATTTTTAGGATAAAATTTATTTAAAATTAGAAGATATTTTACCTAAATTGTAGAAGATTTAAATAAAAGAATATAAAATAGCAAAAAAATGCCATAAAAACTTTTCTTATTAATAATGTTTTCAATTTCTAAGCTATTGGCGTCGGTTCGAGAATGAAATTTTCAAGATAAAATTTAAAATTCATTTAATTTTATCAAAAAATTTATTTTTTAATTTTAAACAAGTATTATCTATTTTGATAAAAAATTTAACTATTTTGTATATACATCTTTTTTAAGATATTATTTTTTGTCATACTCTTTTACAAAAAAACACAAAATTAAGGGGTTAATTACTTTTACAATTTTATCTCACTTTGATGCTCTTAAGAAAAATGTTACTGGGTGGCGCCAAGCAATCAGTGTGGAGAATTTACATACATACCATTTTATTTCATGATATTTACATATCTAACATTCAAAAGTTTAATATTTCATAGCTACCATGCACTCATATAAAAGCTTTAATATCAAATATACGAGTCATATATTTCATTTTTACCACCCATACCACTCTATAAATTTTAATATTTTATTTTATGCACCAATATTTTTATTTTATGGGTGGTATGAATGTAATATTAAAGTTTCAGGTATTAGATATGTAAATAGCATGAAATAAAGTGGTATGCATGTAAATATCCCAAAATAGTATTTGCAGATTCTTAGGAAACTTTTAGTATTTATATGGCTATTATTTATTTATTTATATAAAATCTTAAATTTAATTCATATAAAAAATCATTAATATTTATTTATCTATAATTAAATATATCTTTCATACATACATTTTAATATAGTTTAAATAGTCAAATATTATAAAAAATAGAAAATTTTTAGTATTAATGACCCATTTAGCCTGCTTAAAAAGTAAATATAATGTATTTAAATATTTAAATTATTTGGATTAGTGCAAAATAAATATAGATAGAATGATATTGGTTGTTAGTGACAACCGCCGTTGAACAGTGGCAGCAGTAGGAAACGATGAGTAGCGGTCGACTGCATCAATGAAGGGTAGTGACCGGCCGCGACATGTCTCTAGGTATGGCCAACGATAGGCAACAACAATGACGATGGGTGGTGGCAAAGGCAACCAATGGCTAGCGGCGACATTGACAGATTATGCACCATCTGTGATAGAACCCTAAACAATGAGAAATTATTATATCCGGTCAAAAACCGAATGGTTCGAATGTATACTGAGCAATATCGAGTCCAAAATATCGAGTTTTAGGTGACGTGGCATGTGATTATATATTGGTCTCTGAACGCATTCGGACACTGGATGTAATAATTGCTCCTAAACAATTAATATATCTGATAATTATCACATATTTATTAATTAATACATTGCAAAGTTTGCCTTGTATCGACCGACACTATTAGAAGTGAACCCCACACTAATCAAAATTTTATTTATTTAATGATGATTATTAAATGACAGATTAAAAATAGAAATTAATTAAAACGCCAGCATTTATGATAATCTAATCCCAAAAAGCTAAATCCTGTCAGTGTCATGCATGAAGCTACAAAAACAAAAGGACTGAGGCTCATAATTAAAGTTGCATCAATTAATTGCTGATCAGGAAAATTAAAAAAAAAAAGATTACTATTTTAATTATAAACTAATCAAAACTAATAGTAGATAAGTACTTAAATGTTGAAAAAGATGTCAATTTTCTGGTTTATTTGTCTATTAAGGATATGGTCGGTGAAACAAATTAGAAATTTATAATGGTTTATATGACTCTGTAGTTTTTGGTATTAGAAAATTTATGATGATAAAGAGAGAATTTTATATTATAATTATTTTGCGTGAAGATTCACATGCATATAGATAAAATAGAAGAATATACGAGATACTAGTTAGCGTTTCTACGTGAGAAATCCCAAAAGAAAAAAAGATAGGACTTAGCTTAGTTGAAATAATCCACTATAGGCTTGAAGTTATGGAGTGTGCGCTTCTCCATGACATGAGAAGATGAGATTATAAAATTTAGAGTACTTGTTTGGTCTCATAAAGTTGTAGTGAAAATTGTGGGAGAAATAGTTGATGTATAATGACGACGAACATATGGTATTAGTCGAACAATGATAGTCTGATGAAGGTGGTTGAATTATAGTGGTTAAACGATGATTAACGGTCAATGACGATCAGATGATGGGAAATTGACTATAATATCGATCTGAGTAGTGGCGTTTTGATGACGATGGTTAAGTGGTGGAACATGATGATTATTGCCATTGAACATCATGTAGAGCTTTATGGTTCTTCACATCTTCAAGCTTACTTCAATCCTAAGTCTAGATCTCTTACATGTGTATAATGGGGAGTGATTATTGAATTTTAGAAGTAGTATTTTGATAAATTCAACAAAAAATTTGTAACACTACATCTGATGACTCACATCAAACTCTTTGATTATACATCATTTATTCATCATTTAAGTGTCTTAAAGTCATCATAATTCAATGATCTTGGGCTTCTTGGATTCAGCTCGTCAAGTCACTCAATTTGGCGATAAGCACTAAGATTTGGAGATCATTTAGTCTTTTAATTAATCTTCCAAACTTTTCAACCATACTTCAATTGCTTCATTTGAGCTCATTTGGGCTCGAAAAGAAACACCTTGGGTGTCATTAGGTTTAGCATATTAAGATGTTCATATAAAAATTTATGTATTATATGTATAAATATAAAAAAAAATTTGTAGTATATATGTAAATCCACTAATATTTTTTGTCATACCCTTAATAATTTTATTTTTTTTTTGTAAATTCATTAATAAAAAAATAATAGATAATGTTTATTTTATTTATTATATTTTTTAGAGAGATTTGGACATCTAATGACTTTATTGGTTAAAAAATATTAATTGAATTGATGCCTTTATTGCAAAGTTGTCCAAAATTCTGAATTTTTAAAACTCCTTTGTTTACTTTATGCTTAGGCTTTGTTTGAGTTAGCTTTCTTATTGCTTTTTAAAGCTATTTTTTTAATATAAATATTTCTACTTCAACAAATTTTTATACTAAAAAATTGCTTTTGAAAACAATAATAAAGTTTCACAAACTAAACCTTAGAATGCCAATCAAACAACCCCTAATATAAGCTACACTCTCTGCTTTTAGAGAGATTATTAGGTGCGGAGTGCGGACAAGGAGAACCGTCCGCACACAAGTATAGGGTACCCAGCTAGGTATCACTCGGTACCGCTGGGTACTGCTGGGTACCGCTAGATACCCAGTGCTTGTGCGGACGATGCACACTCCGCACCTAATAATTTTTCCTGCTTTTAACACCAATTTCACATACAAAGATTTAGTATTACATATCAAAAGAAAAAAAAAATTATGTTAGGATATTCTGAATAAATTTTTTTAAGATGGTGGGTTTTAAAATTATTAAGTTTATTTTGAAATAAGTGCAAATAGAATTTAATAAAAATTTTAAAACTTTTCTTCATCATTTTGCTGATTAGGACATTATTATACAAAATATTTTCCTCTATAAAAGCCCTGTCCTCAAATCTTGCCAGCAAAGAAAACAGTGCTGCTTTAATTTAAAGCCATAAGGCTGATTCTCATATCTTTCAGCCCTGCTGGCAAAGTTGTGAGTGCCCAACTTGTGCTCTTTAAAGAAGTCACCGATTCACATTTCAATCGATGAGCAGATACTCTACAGTATTTGTCTCTCACCAGTCCAATTCACATTATACAACAGCTATTAAAAATAAAAGAGATAGAGAGAGAAAAGGCGAAGAAATTATAGCTTGCCTTTTCTGTCGTTATCAACGGAGCCTTCGAGGTTTGGTTCACTTTTTCTAAAGGGCGTAGCTCATCTTGGTCTTTTGGTTGGAAGTTTTGACTACCAACTAAGAGGTCTTGGGTTCGAGTCTTGCGTATATATTGTGTGTGCGATTTGTCTTAAATGATCAAAATATTAAAAAAAAAACTTTTAGTAAAGGTTTAAGGTAAAATTATTATTCCGCCCTATTTATTACGCAGCTCACCTTGGTATATGAGCGAAAGAAGAATGGATGTTGTTACATGACCAGTTCATAAGCATTTTACAGTCTTCAGATGATTACATTGCAATCCAAGTAAACACAACAGTAAGATGTGTACTTGAATTCTATAGCTTGCACATCTGATTTCAATAAAGAAAATTGCATTTATTCTTTCACAAATGAGAGAATGATCAAAATTGTCTCTTAACTATTTACAGAAGGTCAAAATAGTCCATAAGTATATTAAAGAACCGTTTTAGTCCCTCAATTTCTTAAAAAAGAACCAAAAAGTCTTTTTAAAGACTTGATGGACCAAAAAAATTCTTTAATATAATTGTGAATCATTTTGATCTTTCGTAAAAAGCCAATGGACTATTTTAGTCCTTTTCTCTTTTACAAATTGTAAAGATTTTTCATTTGAAACATTTCAACCATCTGATGCTTAAATAAATGATAAAAAGCATAGCAAAAATATATATAAGCTTTTAACTTACATGATAGACTTTGGCTTTGTTTGTGACGACTTTCTTATTGCTTCTTAAAGAAGCTTTTTAATACAAAAATTAAATTTTTGTACTAAAAAGCGGCTTTAAGAAGCAATATGACTGCTATCCCAAACGAAAACTTAGTGAAGAAAAGCACGTGTAAGATGTTATGTGTGGAATCTGATTGTGTTGATATCTCAGGTTATTCCGTTGCCCTGGACCTCAAGTAATTTGTCGTGCTCGTTGGGTGGTGTGGGTTTACCCTCGGACCTCAAATGTTTTTTTTCCGCAAAATGTACCCGAGCGTCCCGAAGCTGCATACCTAAGCACCCTGGCACAAAGCGATAGAGATCGGAACGCCACATCAGTCTAGATACGGCACCGCAGCGGATCAATATAGAGGTTTGAGTGCCGCAGCGCTCAGACTGGCACCGTAGCGCTGAGAGATGGACTAGACAATTTTCTTTTTCATTTTTTTGAAGGGTTGCATCCCTTGGTGGATATAACTTTGCTTTCTCTTGTATTTCCTATATGATAGGCATTGAGAACGATGCATACGAGAAAAGAAGCAAGGAGAGAGCGTGAGAGAAGAAAGATCTGTACTCATTTCTCCTAATTTTCATAGTGTATTTTTTAGTGTGGTGTGGCTCCGTGGTTTTTTTCCCTATTTTGAATTTTTTCAAGTTCAATCCTGGTATCATTTATTTTTTCCGTTACTTTTACTTTCTTGCTTGTTTCGTCCCAACATAAGGGATGGCAAGCAAATTGAGAGATTATTAAGAGACTAGACAGAAGAGTATCAAAGAAAGCTTCAAGTGTGCTTGAAGACACAGTCCTTCTAAGATTTTTATGGGAAGAAAACTTGATTCTTAAATATTAAGAATGCATCTTTGATACAACTGGACCTCATGTGTTTGGCTCTAAGTACACCATTTGACATTTAAGTTAACTTGATAAGTAGATAATAGAACAGTTGAGAGTATTATATCTAATTTTAGGTTGAATAACTCTATAATTCACATCTCTAATTTTGAAAAAGCATCAAACATATAGTCGCCAATGTGAGGATGCTTATGACTTTCTTGCTGCTTCTTAAAGCGCTTTCTAGTAATAAAATTATAATTTTTGCACTAAAAAGCTGCTTTAAGAAGCAGCAAGAAAGCCGTCCTAAACGAAACCTTAGATTTCTTTTGGGACAGCTTTCTTATTACTTTCTAAAACAATTTTTTAGTACGAACTAATTTTTTTTTGACATCTCAACAATCCAATTGTATATTTTTTATTTTTCTTTAATTTGTTGTTAACTATTTTGTTTTTTTTTTCTTTTATAAAACCGATCAAACTAAAAATCAAATTGTATTAATTTCTTATAAGATTAAATCAATAAAGCCATGCAAATTTATTTCTTTTTTAAAAATGTGATTTCTAATTAGCTTATGAGCATATGAGATGAAAAACAGATAAAAGAGAGAATGAATTCATAGTACACTTTTTGAGAAGATTCTACATTTAATCATTGAAGAAGTCTCATAATGAGTTGTTTTTATACATATTAAACAAGATTGTCTAGCTCTAAAAAAAGGAGAATTATGAGGGATAATCAAAAGGAGGTCCAGTTAACAGATGAAAGTATTAGGCAAGTGAAGATATAAGTAGTGATCTTCCATTGACAACAAGTATTGCGTAATAATTGGTAAATTTTTTTAATCAATTTAGGCTTCAATTTAGACTTTGTTTGGGGGACTTTCTTGCTATTTTTTAACGTAGCTTTTTAAGAAGCGGTGAGAAAGTCATCCCAAACAAAATCTAATTCATCATGAGTGACATAATAAGAACTTATTCTCCGGATGATTATGGCTGTAATTGGATTAGCTTTTTGCTGCTTTCTAAAGCTTCGTTTGGGACGGCTTTTTCAAGTTTTTGTACTAGCAGTAAAAAAATCGTCCCAAACGAAGCCTAAGTTTAGTTCAGAAATGTTTGTTCGTAGAGAATATAGAGTAGACAGGCTGCATCAAACAAAAAGTGCTGAAACCACAATTGCTTTATAACGTCATTACATAAAGCCAACAAAATTTGGAAGGATGGTCAAACACACCCTACAGACATTAAACACATTAATACGTATATATATACACAAAACGCAAGACAACCAAAGTAATCCGATAAGATCAGCTAAAACAAACAAAAAGCAACTTATTGCAATACAAACACTCCTGAGCTAAACTCCTGAAACCAAGTGGAAACAACTAACAGTTCAACAAACAGGAACCTTGAGGATGGTAATGAAGCATCTCCTCCCACATCAACTCTCTGATTACATCTTCTTCAATATCTTCATCTATGTCAAGATCATTAGGAACCTGAGGAGCAGGATCAGCATTTGGATCTAGCAGACCAGACATGTATGGATGCTCCAGTGCTTCAGCGACACTTATTCTCTTTGATGGATCAAAAACAAGCATTTTTCCCAAAAGATCAAGGGCCAAAGGATTTGCATTTGGGTAAAGAGAACTTAGAGGAATTCCTGGAGTATATGAGAGAGACTTTATGAATCTTCGAGCTTTTGGGTTGTCTATGAAGCCAATATCATTAGCATTCATGGTGCCAAGGACATTAATGATGAGTTTGAGCTGATTCAGGCATTCAGTTCCAGGGAAGATAGGCTTGCGGCCTAGAAGTTCAGCAAAGATGCAGCCAACGGACCAAACGTCAATAGATGTTCCATATTTCTCGCAGCAAAGGAGAAGTTCTGGGGCTCGATACCAGCGAGTCACAACATATTCTGTCATGAATTGGCTTTTTCCAGAGCTGGCGCGAGCTAGGCCGAAGTCACAGATCTTGAGGTCACAGTTGGAATTGACAAGTAAATTCCCAGGCTTTAAGTCTCTGTGAAGTATATTTGCTGAGTGCAAGTACTTCAATCCTCTAAGTAGCTGACAAGAGGAAATGAGGAATATATTAGTGGCTGCTAAAACAATGAGGAAAGTAAGATTGATTTTTAAATGGATAAATATAAAGGGAACTTGCCAGTTAGATAAATTTTTTTGGCAAGTGTTAGCAGAACTGGCAAACAAGGAAAAAATTATTCTGTGTGGAGACCGGACGCAGCCGTCTGGAGACCAACCAGAATGTCTCACATCAACGGTACTGAGCAGCGGTACCGAATGTAGGGGTGAGGTGGCACATTCCAATTGGTATTCGGATGACGTTCGGCATCCGCACAAAATAATTAATCCAAACAAGGAAGCTTCACATACCTTTCTTGGAAGCATGGAATTCCACCAAAAAAAACTTAATAAAACCACATTTTCTTCTTATTTTTAAAGAATAGCTTGAAAGAAAAATTTGTTTGCTGTATCAAATGTTAAGACCATGTGTGGAAGTTTTTTTTCTTTTTTTTTTTTTGTTTCATTGTCGTTTTGCTTTTATTTTGTTCTGTTTTTGTTTTCACTAAAAGCAAAAACAATTTTTGATGATTTACTTAATTCTTGTTTTACAGAACATAAAAGCAGAAAACAAGAATAATAATCTGTATTTAATAACAAAATTTAATATTTATTCCATAATTGATCAGATTTAAGTATCTAAATGCTAATTAATCATCATAATCACAAGCAACAAGTTAATCAATAATATACTAGGTTGTATTATTGTGATTAAACAATAATAAAACTTATCATCCATAATTAAAGCTGAATTAGCTTAAATAAATAGTTAATAAGAGAAGCTTAGTTAATTACTAAATTGGTTAAAATTCCACACCTAATTATCAAAATTAAACAGTTATTAAACATAGCAATGATGATTCTAACACTAATTAATCAATAATTGATTATAATAATATAATACCAAATAAAGATATTAATATCCAATTAGCATAATTAATCTTGATCAAAACACCATCACATATCATGCATGAAGATTGAAGACCCAGCAGAGATCCATACCTGGAAGAGAAAATACTGAAGATGATCATTTGAAAGTGGCTGAGGCGACTTAATAATCTGATGCAGATCAGTATCCATCAGTTCATAAACAAGATAGACATCCCTAAAATTCTTGTTCTGTGCAGGCATCATGATGTCCTTCAAGGCAATAACATTCTCATGGCGTAAATGTCTAAGGAGCTTCAACTCTCGCAAAGTTCTCAAGGCATCAATGCGATTATCAAAGACATTATTGATTTTCTTAATTGCAACTTTCTCATTTGTCTCCCTGTTAATAGATGAGCAAACAATTCCATAAGCTCCTCTGCCTATAGGCTTGATAGGGACATACTTTGTGTCAATCTCAAACAAGGTTCGCCACATGGAGTAGTAATGCTTTCCCTCAGATCGAATGCCATTTGGAGGATCTACCATCATCGCCATTCCTTCTCAATCTTCTGCAGACAAAGTTCAATTCAAGATCTTCATTTTAACCAAATGCAGAATTTGCATCTATTCCTAGTTTTGCAAAACGACGATAATACCAGAATCCTAAGATTCGTGGTAAGAAAACCAAAATAGTTTCAAACTCAGAAAAAACATTCAAAATCCCTCAAAGGTGACGCTTCTTCCACTATTACACACAGAAAGAACGGAAAAAAATCATAATTTTCTCTTAAAAAAGGGCTCAGTTGGTTAGAAAACATGTTCTAAAAAAAGATAATTTCACTTTCACTCATTTTGACTTTTGAGTATGAAATTGAAATCAAAATTTCAACTTTAGGTTTCAATCAATTCAAACTATACCCAACCAAAAGATGAAGCTAGCAAGAAGATTTCTAAATTCAAGCACCCAAGGCTTTAATTACCGTTATTTTTTTCACAATTACATTGTACAGTTACAACTAAAAAAGGAATCGAATTTCCACCATAACACCTGTTTCTAATCCTCGATGAGAAAAAAAAAATCCAATCCATCAAAATAAAACACCACGCAAAACTCAAATCCAGATGAAAACAGATAACTTCACCTTCCCAAAACTTGAATTCGGATAAAAGGATCGTGCGTTTAATCAGAAGCACAGCAACTAAAGATCTGCACAAAGAAAATCCAAACTTCTATGCCAAATCTCCTCGCAATGGCACGCAAAGCCCTAAATTTCCTAATATAAGCAACCCTTCTCTCAGGAAGATTTCCGTTCCCAGATATAGCACCGAAGATACAGATATACAGCAAAAAATAACGATAAATACCCCCCACGATGCTATGCGGTCGGCTAACTCGCGCGAACTCCCGCCTACGCAAGGCCAGCGGAGCACGATAAACGGACGCTTCCGATCGCGCCTTGTGTTCGAAATCTTCTTCACTGACCATCCGATTGAGTATCGGGCAAGGTGGCTTCAGCAGTTATGCAAAGGAGGATAAGATATGCCGCGGAATATTATTCGCTTATCATGCTCGGTTTCATATCGAGTCCGCGTAACGCCGGTGAACGAATAAGATACGGACACGTGCGGGGCGTGCGGGTGTTCGCTGACCGACTAATCGACGGCAGGCGCTGGGATATGCAGGAGAGAGGGGGCGGAATCCTTGTATGGAACGGGCTATGAATTCCGATCGTCAGATTTGTGGAAGGGGCACGTGGACGGCGATGATGAGAGAGTATGGCGTAGTTTTAGGGGCTCTGTAATGAACGCGTAGAAGCCAGCAAATGTGGCTCGTGAGCGCGGATTGGGGGACTGAGCCACGTGGAGTAAAGGCTAAAAGACGCCGGTGCTAAAGCGGGCGAAAACAGCGTCATATTAGCTGTGGGACAGTGGGAGTGGATATTTTTATTGAAGTTAGCGGCTTTGTTTGGAGCATTTGTTTTTGTTGAAGAAGAGTTAAATCCACCTATCAATTATTGAAGTTAGTGTCTTCTTTTTGGGGGAAAAAAGGAGATTGTTATGCCATTTACTTTGTCTTTTTTTTTTTTTTTTTTTTTAAATTTTGAATGCTATATGGAGATGGTTTTAATAATCAAAATACAACTATAAGTGAAATAATAAAATTGTAAAAAATAGTAAAGTTATAATATGAGAATTTTACAGATGATAACAAAGAAGTGAAATAAAAATATCATAAGCCCATAAAAGAGACATAGATATTCAAAACAACGAGACGAATATATGATAATGCTCTAATCAAGAACTACTACTACTCTTGCGTCCTAAAATATTTATAGCGGTAGAGAAATATAAAATTTTAATATCTTAACTTTATACGAAGATCCAACACACAAACAGAAAAGAGAGGGTGTAGCGTTCATAAGAGACACCGCAGATTTTTACGTGGAAACTCTTGAAAAGGGAGGAAAATCACAAGACCTAATCCAGTTTGAATGAATCCATTATTATTTGTAGTCGATTACAAATGAGGTCCTTCCTTGGGGCGAAGGCCTTGGGTTGATGTAGCAAATGTACATCATATTACATTGTGGGAATTAGAAGAATTAGTATTGAAACATTTGTTTAGTCGGTAGAACCATAGCGGTGGGCGACGGAGGTCAGAAAAAATCGAGTTTGGTGACAGTGATTAGAAGGACCGTTATCTAGTGAGGGAGTTCGAAAATATCATATTCGGCATGAGATAGTGGTCAAAAAGATCTTTACCTAGCAAGGGAGGTCGGAAGGAATGTAGTCGGTGGGAGATAGTGGTCAGAAGACCGTTGTCTGCCGATGGAGGTCGAAATGACCGTAGTAAACGACAGAGGTCGGAATGATCGTAGTCGGTAGGAGACATGGGTCAGAAAGACCGTTTTCTGGTGATGGAGATCGGAAGGACCGTAGTAGGCCATGAAGGTCGGAAGGACCATAGTCAGTAGCAGATAAGGGCCGAAAAGACTGTAGTCGTAAAACGGTGGTCCAACGAAAGCCCAGGCATTATTTGGTGATCTAGCAAAACTCTGACTTTTATTGATGGTTCGGTGAGTTTGGGTCTCAGTCGTTGGTCCGACGGTGGTTTGACAGAACTCCCGCGTCAGGCGGTAGTCCGACAAAACTCTAACTTCGGGCGATAGTCCGGCAGAACTCAAACGTTGAACGATGATCCAAAAGAACTCAAGTGTCATGCGGTGGAACTGACAAAAGTCTAGGCATTATTCGGTGGTATGGTGGAACTCCAACTTTTGTCGGTGGTCCGACAAAAGTTTGGGCCTCAATCGGTGGTCCAGCGGTGGCTTGACGAAACTACGATGTTGGGCGGTGGTCCGGTAGAAGTTCGGCATCAGGCAGTGGTCATGATGGAAGTCGGCCGGTAATTCCACGATGGTCGGGCAAAATTCCGGTGGCGGTCGGCGGCCGGGTGGAAGTCCGACGGCGTTCGGTGTTCGGGTGGTGGTTCGACGACAGTCGGGCTAAAGTCTGACGACGATTGACATCCGTGCGGTGGTCCGACGACAATTGGGTTGAAGTCTGACGGCTGTCGACAGTCTTCATACAAAGCTAAGACACTAAACTTTATATTTTTCTACCACCGTAAATATTCCAGGATGCAATAGACATATTATAAACAAATATAAACATTTTTTTTTTTTTTAATTTTTTCTCCTACGAAGTTATGTTAATAAGCATATGAAAGTTGATCCGAGACTCTCATCCCTACATATTCCTAATAATATTTAAATAAGTATCAAGAGAGGTTTGTATAATCATAGAGTAAATATTAAATTAAAAAAATATCTTTATACAATTTGTATTGGGAGGTTAAGACCAATAATTAATAATTATAAAATAAATACTTAGAATTAGAAGACGTTTATTTTTTGTTGAAATAAAACTAATTATGATATTTTTATTTAAATGTATTTAAAATTTAGGCCATTATATTTGTTGCGTGCTAGAATATACGCGGCGGTAGAGTTTATAAATTTGCGTCCTAGTGTTGTACGAGTATTCAGCACACAAGAAGAAAAGAGAAGTGAACACCAAGATTTATACGTGGAAAACTCGAAAGAGGGAAAAAACCACGGGGCCTCGCCCAGTTGCAAAGTTTCACTAGTATTTGTTTGAAGTACAAAGGTTGATCCGTCTTACAAATCAAGACGATCAATTTACAATCAACTTCTCACAAAGTTACAAAGTTGTGCAAATTCCCTCTGTTTCCCGAAAATCCGGCAGAGTTCCGGCGTCTTCAGGCGGCGGGAAGAGCTCCGGCGGTGGTCCAGGAGGAGCTTCTTCCTTCTCCTCCTCCTTCTCTTCTTCTTCTCTCTCTTCACTTGAGTCCCCTTTGTGTAGAATGAGGGCTCTATTTATAGTTTTTTTGGAGTGGCATAGCTCGTAAATAGGTGTGAGATCATGGGCGAATAGAGAGTGGTTTGAATGGACGACCGATAATGAACTCTTCGATCGTGCACCGTTCGTTGGACATTTGGAGACCTTAATAATGTCGGAATTTGGTGATCTTGGGCTCGTTGGATTTGTCTCGTCGAGCCAATCGATTCGAGTATAAGCTCGTTAAAATCGGAGACCGTTTGGTAACTCAAATTGCGGTTTGAACCTTTCAATAGCGCTTCAGGTCCTTGATTCAGACTCATTGGGGCTCGGATTGGGTTCATCTTGGTGTCGTTGGGTTTGTATTTCCGAGACGCTCAGTTTGACTATAAGCTTGCTGAAATCGGAGTTCGGTTGCTCCTGGAATTAATTTTTGAAGTTTCCAACTAGCTTTTACCTCGAGATTCGTGCCCGATCAAACTAATTTTGTGATGTCGTATCAATATTTTCATTAAAATTATCTCCTAACCACAATTACCTAAATAATGTCACTTAATTATCATCATTTGATCGTTGTTATCCAAAAGTCAACACCCTCTAGTTAGTGCTACGTACCTAAATTTATAATCTCATCTTTATATTAAGATACATTTTTTATATATCAAAATATTGTGTTATCTTTTTTTTTCTCTCTCTCTCTCTCTCTTTTATACATGAAACAACTTGAGTGAGGCCAATGATGATGGAGGTGGGCTCCCTAAAGGTCAATTGGTATAGGCGGGCTCGGGCAAGGAAAGCGATGGCAATAGGCAAGACTAGGAGCAACATGGACAATTAAGCTAGGACATCTTGGGGATGGTCGAAAGAGGCATGAGGAACTCGGCGCAATCACCGATGAAGGGATGGCTCATAGGAAATCATTAATGGTGGAAGGACCTCACAGGAGGTCTCTAATGACACATGTAACTTGGGTGTCAAAACGGATTGATGGGTTAGATTTTGATATGATTAAAATTGATCAACGTGTTAAAAAGACTGATATAGATCCAACTTGTAGTAACCCAAATGATTAGAACTCAACCCGTTAACCCATTATTGTTAAAATTATTTTGTTATAACTTATCAACTATAGAGTTTATGTTATTTGATAAACAATAAGAAGATCATACCGCAACCAAAATAATTTAAAGAAAAAAATAGTAAACATATCATTTTATGTCAAATGCGGGTTTAAAATCAACTCCATTAATTAAACGGATCAACGCAAACCTTAATTTTTTATTCAATGATCATATCATTTATTAACACCCCTATAAATAAATAGAGAACATTAATAAATAAAAGGGCTCAATATAAAAAGAAATGTAATTTGAAAATGGATCAATTTAATTGAAAATAATTACAAGCAAAATAAATATAATACAATACACTCATAATACATTTAAGAAAAAAAAATACACTTAATTCTTGAAATTAAACAATATTTAAAGGTTTCGCGTAAAGACACGTGTCAATATCGGAAAGAAGAAATATCGTCTGGTACTCGGATTAGGCCGCCGGTAACCTCAATGAACCGGTAGATTGCCTTAGCCTTTCTGTTCATACAAAAAGACCATTTTATCCTCTTCTGGATGCGGATAAGACCATAAGACAACGAAATCATGCTCTCAACGGCGTGCACTCCGGTCCTTTCAAGTCTGCCCGTCCAACAACTTTAGTTTCCCTTTCTATCCTCTAACAATTTCCCTTATACCAGTCCTTGCAGTATTAATCTTGCACTTATTGAAAGGAGCTCTCGTAGGGGCGTAAAGGTAATTTAGGCACAATGAAATCCGCTTTACGCCGCCGGCAGTTTTAGAAAGGAATTGGAGCTCACTTCTTTCCCTTATCAGAAGAAGAAGAAGCTGGAAGCCGAAGAATCTTGTTCTTGGCTCTTCGCGATCGCTACGGTTGGGGTAAGTTTTGCGATCTCTCACTCTTCGAGTGCAGGTTCCTTCCTCGTCGGATCCCCTTATAAGAGTGTTTTGAGTTGGTGAAGGATTGATCCGAGGTTTATATGGGTAAGTTTTTCGAGGAATTGAGTATATCTATTATTAGATGTATGTTTATATTTTAGATATTTCGATAGGACTGTTGAGTGCTAGAGATTAGTGGCGGCTTCTGACGTTTTCAACTGAATTTTTGGTTCCGGGTGATACAGTACTAGGCTATATCTGCCGGTACAGTGAATGTAATGATTTTCTTAGGCTGTGGATTCTAATGATAATTTCGAAAGTTTGCATTACTGATGGGTTCCTTTTTTTTTTTTCCCCAGATAGTTACCCTTTTTCGCCTCTCTGATATAATTGAACGATGCTTGCTTGTGCATGAAAGTCGATGAATCGAAATTTCGGTTGGGTTTTTCTTTTCTGCAGTGTTCTCTGTTCTTGATTTCTATTTGTTCCTTTTTTTATCTTCTGTACTAAATTTGGCAATTGGAGTTTATGAAAGCTTTGATTAAAAATCTCATATAGTTGAGGATAGTTTTAAGCCTACGAGTTTTGTTATTTTTTTCATATGATTTATTCATACATTATTCAGAATGATATAAACTTTATAAATCATAGTACTTGGTGGAACTATGAATTCTCTTACAGATAGCCTGATTTTCAGATCAATGAATGTGTCCCAAGGTTTTGGTGGGGGCGGAATCAAGTAGACAAGTGGTGTCATATCAATAACACTACCTAATTTACTGAAGGAATTTTAATTTGTTATGCTTCTACTTCACCATCCACAAGTATTCTTACAAGTTGGTTGTAAAGTTGTTCAGTTTACGTTTGTATATGTATGATTAGCATACATTTCTTATGGTGAATTCTGTCGGTGGAGTAGGGTGGTGGGGAGAGGTAGGACGCATGTCCCTGAAATAAAGATTCCATGTCCATGGGACCTTCAGCAGTTGGGATCGAAAGGACAGTTATTACTAAGTTGCATTGTTGATTTGCAACAAAAAAAAAGGGAGTAGTCCTATATTTTTGCATTAAAATCTTTGTAAGTGAAACTCATTATAGCTGTGGAAGATTAATAAGCAGGGGGTATATGCACAAACTTTTGGCGACTGTACAGGCTCAACTTTAAGCAGAGCTTTCATGTGTTTCTATTATGCTCATAAGTTGTGATGCAAGAAAACAAAACCATGATCATCAGTTTTGTTCTTAGAAATGGTACCATGCTTTGGTTCCTTTTGTATTATAAATATTTGGCCCGTAAAGCATTGAAAAAAATTGATATAGTAACAATACAGTTATTTATACTACTGTTAGTTATTTTCTTCTTGCTCATTTTTTAGTACATCTTTTTTTTTTTTTTTTTTTTTCCATTGGAGTATAGTGCCTTGTCCACTTTGCTTATCGGTACCTATTTTCCTAATGGGAATTTATTCTATTTCTTTCCCGCTAAAATACCGAACTGAACTGCATTGACCAGTGAGAGGAAGTTTTATGGCAACTCTGGAGGGACCTATCATTTACCAGCCTGCTTTTTATGCAACCAACACAAAACTATCTGCTCAACTAGTAAAAATCCCTTTAAGAAGGGTTAGGAATCACCGAGATGGCTTTTTGGGCTATAAAGGGTTATATGCGGGTACAGTTGGAGGTTTTCTTTCTAGAAGACATTTTCAGTGGAAGAGTGGACCTTTGCTTTGCAGCCTTAGATCTTCTTCTGATGGAAATGGAAGCATGCCGGAGAACTTCAGTGAGAATGATGCCGAGTTTGTGAATGCAAGTGTAATTGAAGCCGGTACGATTTCTAAACTTTCGGATATTAATATTTTTTCTTGATCGCAACTTCTTCAAAGTTTTGCTTTTTTCTCATTAGGAAGTTACAGGTGCTTCAGTACATGGATGCATGCAATCATGTGATTGTGCTTGTGTAGATGCCATCATTCCTTTTGAAAAAAAAAATTGTTGGCTTTTAAGAACTCTCAGGAAACTTGATTTTAATTCCAGAAGTTTTAGCAAACAGAAATATATTCTTACAAGTTTTTTTGATGAAACTATTGAATAGAGTATATGATCTTATGGTTTTCATGACAGATGCAGACAAAGTTAAGAAGAAATTTTAATTCATCTTGAGAACATTGAAAGATACATTGAAAGATTTTCTATATTCAAAGATAAAGTTAAACGAAAATTTGATTCAAGAGAAGGAAAAAAAAAGTAATTCCATAGAATTCAAACTTAATTATGTAATATTAACACATCATTTTTGAACGTGCCAAATTAAATGTCAGGTTATACCCCCTTAGGGTGACAGTGAAACTTATGCTTCTCAAGTAATTGGAGGGTTGCTATGCCCTTATTCTAATTCACATGAAATTCTATATCTTTGTTTGTCATGGAGTTTAGACCTCATTGGGGCCAAAAATGAGCTTGATACAATAGTGACCAATCCTATTTTTAACCCAAAAAATTAAGACCGTGGGAGAGAGTCAACCATTTAATGTTTCTATACCAATATATTTTTCAACTTTTCAATATTGGCCGTCCTTGGGTTATTTCTAGCGGGTTCAGCGGTGGAGTAGCGGTAGGGAACTTAAGGCTAGATGTTGAGGATGGGAGCTACGACATAGGTGCGACGGGTCCGTGTGAAGGTGCGGGTGTTTAGATTATGTTAAAAACTAATTATTTTTATACATTTATTATTAAAAATTGGCATATATGAGCCATACACCTCATGCTTTTGATGTGAGGCGTCTCAGCTAGTTTGAGGCATACGCCTCAAAGCACAAGCATGAGGTATGCATGTCAATGCGTTTTGGAACAGAATTGCGATGAGACGTACCTCACATTGTGCAATTTTAAATACGGGTACAAAATAATGATCTTCAAACTATTTTGTACCTGACTTGTTTCAGTTCTTTGATTCCACTCCTTACTAGGGGGTTTTCCATGTATCTTCCAACAATTTTCCTTTATGTGTCTTGATTTCTTGCAATAACTGCACCAAAGTGAGTCTTTGCCTTTGAATTTTGAGAAATCTTTACCTTTCTCCTTCCATGATTCTTTGCTCATCACTATTACTGAACTTTCAATGACCTTTGGTTCTAACATCACTCCTCGTCGTCTTTCTTTAGCACGGATGAGAGAAATGGTTTCGTTGAGTGATGGTGTCTCCTTTTTGCCGAGAATCTGAACCCTAATTTGGTCAAATTCTGTATTTAGTCCTGCAAGAAAATAATAAATTCTATATTTTTCAATAAAGTTCTTTAGGATCGCAGCATCTTTCGGACATCTGGTTTCTATGCACCTATAGTGATCAAGTTCCTGCCACAGATTTTGTAGAAGGGTGACATACTCCGTCACAGTCCTGCTCCCCTGCTTTGTGCTTCCAACTTTGACTTTAATTTCAAAGATTTGAGCCGCATCACGAGCTTTGGAGAAGGTCTGTCTGACAGCATCCCATATGTCATTTGCAGTCGAAAGGAACATAAATGTATCGCTAATTTCTGGAGTCATGGAATTCCACAACCATGACATAATCATGGAGACTGCTTCTTCCCATGCCCCAAATTTAGGATCTCCTTCCTTTGGTCCTCCTCCAAGGAGGTGATGTATTTTCCCTTTTCCCTTCAAGTAGGTCTTCATAAATTGAGATCACTTTAGCTAGTTCTTCCCATTTTGGCGATAGGAAGGTTAGATGCTTTTAAGGTCACCTCGTCCTTGGTGCACCATCGATTCCTCAATTTGATCAACGCTTTGGGAGGAATTAATTTCTGACATTGGGTAACAATGAAGGCTTCCCAAAAAATAATTTTTATTGTTCGATAATGAAGGTAAAGAGTTTTATTTTTTTTTTTAGGGATAAACAGAACCCGACCGAACCAAGCCTTTAAAGGTTTGGGTCGAAATAGAGCACGGGACTCCTTCGGTCAGTAGTCATCGGCTTGCAGGAGAGTTCTTCGGCTTCTTCGTGTTGTTCGTCTACGCTCCTTCGACGACTTCTCCCTTATGTCAGATCCGAAGTTCCAATGCTTAGATCGGCTCTGTCGTTTTGTTCATCCGGCTTTGTCTCGTATGCGTACGTAGAGGTTCGCTCGGCTTCGTCCTGTGGGTTTCACTCGGCTTCGTCCAGCACATAGGAGCTTTTCCCGCAAGTTTCTGCCCACTCAGAGTCAGATCTTCCAGACGGTCCACACGTCTGTGTGCGAGTCTTTCAGTCGACGCGTGTCCGTATGGGAAGTCGCGGCTGTCGCGGCTGTCGCAGCTGTCGTTGGCGTAGGGCTTTTCCTTCTTCTTTTTCGCTTGTAGTCGCGGCTGTGAAGTCGTCGACAAGCCTTCATCCCACAAGGTTGCGTCTTCTTTTTCCAACGGCAGGACTTCGGCTCTGTCTATGAGATCAAAGCTTCGGCTCCGTCCTTCTCGCTCGACTTCTGATGGCTTACTTTCTTCTTCGAGGCTCTGATACCATGTTAGAATTCACATAATTCACATAATTGGAGAGGGAAAAATGATTAAATTATTATTACATAAATTTATCCCTATATATAGATCTATGCAGGATATCTTAATAAAGAAACAAATAAATACAAAATTATTCATAATTGCGCTAATATAATCCTTCCTAAATCAGCCACCCGAATATGGAAGGAGATTGGCATAATCCAAATGAGCCTCCCACGGATCTCCATCCTTGGCCGTGGGATCAAGGGCCAAAGGGATGGTTGGGATTTTAACAGGACGCAATAGTGGATGGGTGCTCATTGACAACAAGCATGCAAGAGATTAATGAACTTCTATGCGGACCTGAAATATTCGTACTGCCTTTGTTTTGTTTGTCATCTGAAATGTGGTGTAATTGGTTAAGATTATTTGGATTCATCTATGCTTTTTTTCCCAATTACCAATATTACTACTTGATTCTGATATGGACCTCTCTTTGATCCAAATTTACGTTTAGAATGAATGTGGGTATACTTTTGACTGATGATGGTGATCCTAGCTAGCCAGTTCATAGCTCATATTAATTTCAGTTTCTTAAGCCAATTTTTTCATATTTATTTCTACAAATTAATTAGTTTTGAATTTTTTCATGAAGCTTTTTGGATATTAGAAGCCCTAATCATTGGTTAAGAGCCTTAAGATCTTTGGTTAAGTATGACCGAGATTAGAGGTCATGCAGTAGGCTTAGACATTGATATCTTTCAAATCTTGATCATATCTTTAATGAAGGTTTTGCCAGTGGACCATATTCTATGTTGTTTACAGGAGCATTAATTTAAATGATATGATATTTTCTATGTTAAACCAGAGTATTGGTGAATCTGTTTACTCGCCTGCATTTCATAGGACTGCACGGCATTCTATTAAATGCTAAAATATTGTCTCTTCGTTGTACATTACTTGGCTCCATCGAGTTTCTCAATGCTACAAATATATCAACAGTAAATTAATGTCATGTACTTTCTGATTCTCGTGTACATTTAAGTTTTTTTTAGTTTACCCATTAGAATTTTCTTCTGGAAATGAACTCTAAAATTATACACCCGTACTTTGCGATCTTTTTTGCAGTTGAAGTGAAAAGTGGTTCAGATGGTTTCTTTATTAGAATGCGCAGTGGTAGAAATTTAAGATGTGTGCACAATAGTCCTCAAGGAGGACATCTACCAGACTATGCTCCTCATCCAGCAATTGTGCTGAAGATGGAAGATGGAAGTGATATCCTTCTTCCTATTATAGTTTGTATGTTTTCATGCAAAATTGGATTCTTTTTGTCTATTTGTTTTTCTTATTTTGCAGTTCTTACAAGGTGTATAAATTTATTTATATGCTTTACTCAGTGGAGATGCCCAGTGTTCTGCTAATGGCTGCACTCCGTAATGTACCTATTGTAAGAAGGCTTTTTCTGATAGTAAAATCTACTTTATTTTGAGCAATAAATTATTATTTTATTCCCAAACCCCTAATCAATCTAAAAAGGTTAATATCTTTTCCAGGCTAGGCCAACTATCTATCAAGTTGTACAAGATATGATTGATAAAATGGGGTATGAGGTAAGAAATTGCTTTGGCCTGTGCTCGATCATTTGAACGTCTTTGCTTTTTAACCTTTTCTTACCATTCGTGTTGTATTTCTTATCAAAGTAGCACATTTTGATTCCTTAGTGCATATCATACCTCAATGTTTTTAGGTTCAACATTTCTAAACTCTTTACTAGCTAGCGCTATTGGAAATCGTTATACTCGGGTCAAACTTCTAAATTTCATGATATCAGGACGTCTAGATTTGAAAACTAATGCTACTTCTTATGCTCAGGTACATCTTGTTCGAGTTACTAGAAGAGTACATGAAGCTTACTTTGCTCAGCTGTACCTTTCCAAGGCAAAGTCTAGTTCCTTGACTTGAATATTTTTTACTTAACCTACAACACTAGATGTGCAAATACAAACTTTCATTTGGGCATACAGGTCGGGGACAAAAAAGACATAATTAGCTTTGATCTCCGCCCTTCAGATGCAATAAACATGGCAGTCAGATGCAAGGTATGAGTTACTTGACTTACTACTTGTCTAACAACGTAATCATGTAAATAACTTTTTGCACGACTTTTATCTTTGCCTTTGCTTTTTTTTTATCTGCTAGATGCTTTTTTGGCTTTTCTGGTAATTAATTTTACACCTATGCAGGAAGCATATAGATGTTTTTACCATTGTGAGTATATAGGGGCATCTTGTTTACTAGTTAAAACGATGTTTTATATAGAAATCAAGTTATATGTTTGTAAATATTTTATGCGCACCCTTTTTTTAGAGGGACACATTTAGCATAATACGAGCATGTGGAACAGTGACCCAATTATTTCATTTTGATTGGTCTCTCCAAGTTTGTTGACAACTTATAATTTCATCAACAATATTTGTACAAATTGTTTGTACCTGACCTTTTGAATCCTTCAAATTTTCTTTGTAGAAGGTTTTATCTGGTTTCCACTCCTATTTCCATGGAGTTTTCTTATAAAAAGAAGGCAATCTTTCTAGTAGTTTTGTACGTTGTAATGGAACCATAACAATGGAAGCATGTTATGATGCTTTAGAGTTTTATACAGGAGTTCCCCTTCTTTAAACTTTGAAAGGGTACAGTGCAATCTTTTTCTAGAAGCTACGCGAAAGAACAACTCAATTAGGCCTAGTTGACATAACCATCTTATTTGACCGATATAAATTAGGATATGTAGGAATTAAATATGGAGCTAGCACAAATCAAGAAAACATAATATGAGCGTGAACGCCTGTCTATGTTTTTTGTAGACTTTGCTGTTTTATCAAATTTGCTTATTCTGAATATGCTAACAAAAGAATTGTTTTTGTAGATTAGAGGGTAGTAAAGAACATTAAACTTCTTACCCAGAATGTATTGGAACTATTCTGGACCTAAGGTTTGTTCCGAACTGGCCGGAGTATGATGTGGTCAGTTCTTAACCAAACTGATCCCAGCTCTTTAAGGCTTTGACATTTTTAAAACAGGTAAAAGGGTTGGCATTCGAATTCTAAAGCTTCCACAATCCTGCATGTTTAACCTTGTAGGCTGCGTATAAGGCTCTAATATTATATGTCAAGAGGTTTTACTAAGGCCCCATTTAGAAATGATTTTTGATAGCAGATTATGTGTTTTATGACCGCATAATCAAAGCTATTGCTTTATGGTTGGTATTATTGATTAGCAACTTTCTGGGATCATCAGAGCAGCCTCTTATTAGAAAAGTATATGATGCAAAATGACAAAGTTGTTACTGTTGTTCCTTAATCATAAAACTTCTTGGCTACGTATGATTATTGTATACTTCAGTCGAGTCATTCAGATTTTGGCCTGGTTACCTCTATCATTTTTGTTTAAAAATTAAACAAGTTTCTGCAACAGAGGTATGTGAATGCTTGTTAAGTTTTAGTGCTTTACATAATTGTGAAACTGTTAAATGACAACATCACTTCTTATTTTATTCATCGGTGCAAGTCTCTTATCATTTCATTTTTTTTTCTATTTTACCCTCTGAATTAACAGAGTAGTTCATATAATTTTGTATTAGACAAATGAGGATGGGCTATATTTTAAGCTTTGTTAGGGATTGGAAGGAGTGGAGGTCCTTAAGTAGCTGGATGTAGCATATATATAGGTCGGACACTCTCCAAACTTCCCTTTATTCTAACCTCTCTCGTACCCAAAAATAATACATTAATTATTGTAAAGTGAAAACAGGAGTGAAAGAAACCCACGCCTGTTACTGGTTTTGGTCAGCTACAACTGATATTTTAATATTCTCTGATGAATCTGTGGGAAATTGGTTTTCCATGAGAAAAAATATTTGTTTTCAATTTGTTCGTGTAGAATCAAGTTATGATTTGTTTTGTAGTCGCTATAATGCAAACCAGATTCTTGATGTTATTTTGTTTTCTATGTTTTAAAGGTTCCCATACAAGTGAACAGAACTCTTGCATACAATGATGGGATGAGGATCATCGGACAAGTGAAGCATGCAGCAAAGTCTTCTCAATCTGATGGTTTTCTGACCACTGAACTTGATAGGTGAAGAAACTATATATTTATCCCAATCGATCCTCTTTTCCTATTTTTTTACAAATTATTTTGCTTGTTATGTGCTGCTCCTGTAGTAGCTATGAAATCTCAAAATTATCAACTTTATTAGGAGAGATTTCAAAAACTTTTATTAGGAGAGATTTCATTGAAACTGAAGTATTTTCTGGATTTTGGCAGGCCTGATGGTCAGCCGTGCACAGAGACCAAAGAGTTTGACTTTGTTCGCAATATGTTGATTGCTGCTGTTGAAGAACGGTATACAGATGCAGGTATTCTACATTCTTTCTCGTTAGCCGACTGCAATAGGTTTTGTCATTAAAAAAAAAAAAGGGAATTAGATCCAATGAAATGATGATAATTAAATATATTTCGACAAAAATATGTTATCCAATCTTAATCGTCCAATACATCACTTTGGATTAATTTCACCTAAACTTGAATGATTTTGACAAAATATGGTGGATTTTATCCCAACTATTCAAAGCGGAACACACGGTTGAGATGAGGTAATGGCACCTTAAAGAGTATCTGAATTCATGCATAGCCACATGAGACTACTATATGGTTTAGTTTCACATCAAATAGTTAAAATAATTAAAGGAATATATTGATATAAAAATATCAAATAGTTGTTTCTCATTCATACGTACAATTTCTTTTTTTATTGAATATGAAATGATTAGAACTGCGGTGGTATATCCATTCCAACTTAAGGGGAACTATTTTAGTTATCGGATTTTTTAATCATAAAGAAATCTCATGTTCTGTTATGGAAAAGAATTGTCAGGAATTTCTTACCCGCTTTTTATCAGGATCAATTAAAGATAATAACACGTGATCTTACTCTCATCTTTGTGAAAAAAAAAAATATCTATATTTATGAAAAACGGGTCAGAAATTCTTAGACAATTTCGCCATCCACTATACTTTCATATGTACGTGAAAAAGACTTCGTTAGAAAATATTAGAAATGATCTTTAGAGATAGGATACAAAATGAGCATATACATTAAAAGGTTGGAGTAGCACCAGTGGAAGATAAGATTAGAGAGAGTCCCCTTAGATGGTTTGATCACATAAAATGACAGCCTTCTGATGACCTAGTTAGAAAAGTAGATTTATTAGATTTGACTTATGTTAAGAAATGTATAAGTAGACCTAAAAAGACTTGGTTAGAAAATATTAGAAATGATATTTCTTTATTAGATTTAAACGAGTATTTGACTTTTAATAGGACATAATGGAGAGCCGACCCCAAGTAGTGGGACAAAGGCTTGATCTTGTTGTTGTAGTACTATACTTTCAATAAACGTTGCTGCTTTTTAATTAGACATCACCAGCCAGTGCTCATATTTTCATACTTCATAGGCAGTTTGTTATATATAGGCATATTTTGTACATCAAAAACATGTATTAATCAGCAGAAAGCCAGCTTCACAGCATCCCTACCTAAACGTAGATGAGAATCAAATCTAATGGCTTACTTCTTTTGTCTGCTTCAGCTCAATGGAGGGACAAACTTTTTAAGCTTCGATCCAAGAAAGGAACTGAACATGATTAACAACCTCTACATGTTGATATATTCAAAGGGGCATCTTTTTTTTTTGAAGAAATTTGATCTGATGCTGCGTACAATGTACAAAATGTTGTTTGTCTGAACAAAAATCTGAAACAAACCTCTGACGCCTGCATCATATAATTATCCATAAATGTGCTATGCCTGTGAATATCTGTATAGATAAAACCCATAGCCTTATTAAAGAGCTTTAGATGGCTCAGAAACTTTGTTGAAAGTAAGATTTTCTGTCAACATATGTATGTATATATATATTAAGGAAGAAGGAACATTAAGATTCTGAAATGCCTGACACGATAGGTCAGTCAAAAAGTCTTATTGTTGGTGGTGAGGCGGCAGAGTTTTTTTATTGCCAAGCTTCAGAAAATGATAATTGAATGCCATTGATATCAAGGATTATTGACCAGAGGAATTTAAAATTAAATATGATATAAAATAAATACATATATGTTAGAAATGCTTATGTTATTTAGTTGGATGTAAAGTAAAGATTATGACTCAATTTTTTGATTAATTATTTTGTGCGGATGTCGAACGCTGTCCGGAGGCCAATCAGAATGCATCACGTCCCTCATGTGCTCGGTATCGTTGACGTGTTATATTCTGGTTGGTTTCTGGATTATGTTATGCGGTCCGTCTCCGCACAAAATTATTTTCCCTATTTTTTTATTAGATTCATATGCATGCAGTAAAAATATGATGGACAGCAATGGCAAGAGTAGTAGGTGAGGTGCGTAGCCACCAGCGATAGTGGGCAGGTGGTGGCAGATGAGTTACTGAGGGATTGTCAATTGCTCTTTTGATATAGTGTGGTTGGCTTGATGGTTGAAATTTTGAAGTTCTTATCTTTTGCTAATATATTGCAACTCATTAAATCTTATGTTGGTGGAGGCCTATACCATTGGTTTCATTCTACTTGTATACCCAAAGATGCACTAAGAAAAATTAAGCCTCTTCTCTCATTTTTCTCTTTGACAAATGGACTTACTAATAAATTGTATATTCTGCATTGGACTTGTGTTTCTAAGCCAATGAAATCTGGGTGGTCTTAGAATTTAGACTTAAGGCTTTGTTTGAGATTGTCTTTTTTATTGCTTTTTGAATAAACTTTTTAGTTAAAAAATTTAAACTTTTGTTAAAAAAAGCTATTTCAAGTAGTAAAAAAATCATCCCAAACGAAACCTTAGTTTGAGATTACTTTCTTATTGCTTCTTAATCTAATATTAAAATTTTAATTTTTGAACTAGGAAGCCGCTTTAAGAAGCAGTAAAAAAATTGTTTCAAATGAAATAGATTTTATTTGAGAGAGCATTCTTACTGCTTCTTAAAATAAAATTTTTAATTTTTGTACTGAAAAAAGCTATTCCATGATTTTATTACTACTTAAAATAACTTTTTAATATAAAAATTTTAATATTTAAATTAGAAAATCACTTTAAGAAGTAATAAAAAAATAATCTCAAATAAATCCTTGGTCTCCTTTTGTGCTATGCATTGCTTGCAAAATTAAATATTAATGTTAGTTCTCAATGGGCCTCTAAATACACTTCAACATGGTAATTTGCTGCTCAATGCTCTCAGCACCGGAAGACCATTGCCTTGATTGCTGCTTATGTGACCAACGAAATTTTACAGCACTAACCTTTGAATTCTTAATTTGTCACTGTATAAGAAAATATAGGAGATAAAAAACTCACAGTTTTAAATGCCAATATTTGGTTCCACTACAACACTTTGTAAGACTTAGCAGCATACAAAAATAACAGCAAATACAAAGAATTCACGAGCAAAATAAAAGGAAGGGCGCAGAAGACCACATAAGTTAATAATGAATATTTAGTAAATAACTGATAAACTACTATGTACAAAGAATAATGCACTTCAAAACTTACCTGCCTTGAAAGGTTAATAAGTAAGCCTCTGTCACTCACAAAATGTTCTCCACTGCCCAAACTTGCCAGAATTATTCTGCTGAGCTTGTGGCAAACCCTTCCATGCCAATTTGAAGGTCTACTAATATGGATCAAACAGGTTAGAGAAAATGCACAGAATTTCTTTTCCTGTTAAAATATGAAGATGACAGCCTTTGAGCCCATACGCTTTCTTCCGGTGACCATGATAACGGATGACCGGCCATGAATGTGCACCATCTTAGGTTCAGTAAACCAGTCGCAAGATACTCGTCGCCGCCTTTGAAGATGGAGACTATTTTTGATTCAACATCTGGATCTTCGTTGCAGACTAGATCTGCAAATCTAGTCCTTTTTTCATGGAGATCGTCATCATTCTCAGATATCATGCGCAGGCTCAGTACTCTCAGGGCTTCCAGTGCTGTGCTGTGGAAATCAAGTTCTGTATAAGCACAGAATGCGTATGTGCAGGTTGAAGGATCAGGCTTGACTTTGTCATGGTGCATTTGCTCGATGATAGTTTCTATCACATCAATTAGTCCCTGTTAGATTCATCATACCACGAATAAAAATCAGTTGAATCCATGTATTGCTTGTAGGGAAAAATAGCAGGTGCGGAGATTGGACGTAGAGGTATGTCCGGACTCAAATAAAATGTTGACACGTGGAGTGGACACGCTGGATTTATTTTTTACTTTATATATTTAATATGTCCACGGAACTTTAAGTCAAGTGCGCCAAAAGCGCAGTAAAAAGGACAACAAAAGAGCAGTCAAAGCGCAACTAAAATACAGGTAAAGCACAGTACAAAAGCACAACAAAAGAGCAGTCAAAACGCAACTAAAGTGCAGGTAAAGCGCAGTACAAAAGCACAACAAAAGAGCAGTCAAAGCGTAATTAAAGTGCAACTAAAGCGTACGCAAAACGCACAAAAAAGCGGAGCCAAAAGTACACTCTACGTGTCAAATTTTAAGTGGATGTCCGGACGTATCTCTACGTTCGGTCTCCGAACCTAATAATTTTCCTGCTTGTGAGACATGACAGAATTAGAAAATAAATGAGCATAACCTCTGTATGCTCTTCTACTTCTTTTGAAGATATCTTTGCGTATGCTTGTTGAAGGATTTCATTGAATAAATGGACATCAAGTTTTATTTCATCAGAGCTTGCTTGGTTAAAAATATCCAATGCTCCTTGGAAATCATCAATTGCTAGCAAAACCTGTAATGCAATTAAAATTATTTAAGATGGAAGTACTCAACAGACAAATGCAAGAAATACGGAATTCGATTTTTTTTTTTTAACTTCCTCAAAGAAAAAAAAAGTTAAGAACAATTCAGGCGAGAAAATACGGAAATACAGAAAGTTTGCGAGAACTGCAGGATCTTACAAGAAAGATATTGTAATCCATTACTGGAACTAAAAAAAAACTAAAAGATACCCAAATTTATTTTGCAATAAATATAAAAATAAATAAATAAAGAGTTATAATATCATGATCAATTTTTGATCAAAATGGATCTCAGAGTAATTAAATTTCTTTTAAGATTAGTACTATATGAAAAATCAATCAAAATTTATATTGCACTTTTATCAAAATAAATTCAATAGCTTTAAGATCTATCCAGATTAAAACTTTAGTTTAGGATATCATAGACAATTTTATTCCCTAAGAATAATATATAGAATTAACTTGGTCACAATTTGAGAATTATAGAGCAAAATACCTTCACAAGTGCCGTGTAAGTCATTATCTGTGGAAAGAAACCATCACGGAGCATCAAAGACGTTAATGCAAGTGCCGACCTGAAACATGAAATTAAGCTACAACACTCTATCATAATGTGATATGTAGCAGCATCAATTAGGAAACCATATGATCTCATTCTTTGGAAGCATTCAATAGCGGTCAGACCCTGCATAAAAAAAAAGGACACATGTAATAGCCCATATTTTCAGCTAACAGAGAACCTGTAAGGGAAATTAGAGAGAAATTTGATGAGAGAGAAAAAAAAAAGTTAAGATTTGGAGGTCGTCGAAAGATTTTTTGTTAGTTTCTCTAATTGTGAAATTTACTCACCTCATTGTAAGGAGCAATTACCCTATCTCTTATTTCAGTGATTTTATAGATTGTGTTTTATACATTTTTATTTGATCAAAACTTTTTTTGCGATTTTTTGATTTTTAGCAAACTTTCACCGTGTAACCTTTAGTATGTGATAGATGTCATCGATATGAACATTTTGACAGGCATAAATTGAATTTGCACCAGTTAAATTGAAAGCTATGATTTTTTGAAATAAATGTATAATATACAAATTTGGCAGATTTTCTTGTATTTTATGAATAACTATATTTCATACAAGGCATTGATAACAATGCAGCATTTGTACGTAAGAAAGAGAGGCTCGATGAAAGGCTGGTTGTTAACTTGAAAGATGAAGACCAATATCAATTGGTTGATAGTTGGGCCTAATTAAGACTAATACTCAACTGGGTGATCATTAGGGTTAACCGATACCAATTAATTGATAGTTGGACATAGATTAAGATTGATACCCAACAGGGCAATAATTGAGGTGGAAGGATACCACATTAAAGCTGTTGCATTTATGATTGCATTTACATAATAGTACATTGAATTGATTAATATTATAACTTAAATCATACTGGCATTAATACAACATAGTATAACATACTGACATGACTCATTAGGTGATAATCCTCTTTACCTATTCTTCTTTGACATAGTACTATTTATCGTGTGTCTTATAGTTTGATAGATTTGTTTTGACTTCACTTATCATCTTGATTTTATTATTGGATTTTGAGATTTTCTATTGTTCATATTAACTTATGACCGAAAGTAGAAAATGCATATTGAGTCTTTAGCCTTGCATTGAAGATAATGATAGAAATTTGATTACTTGCTAGGCTTTTATGCTCATTATGTGATTTTATGTGATTTTAGGTAAAGGTAAAGAGCTTACAGCTTGAGGCTATATATGTATTGATGCTAATGTAGTGTTTATCTCAATTCTTTAATTTATGTATTCTTTTGTAGCAAGTGTGACTATTGTATATATTGTTTTAAACTCTAGTTGTCGATTGTAATTATTAACAAAGGTAATGTGAATTATATTTTTCTTAGTTATTGATTCTCTTTAATACAATTAATCAGTTCTGAATGTCTACATTTATCTGATTTAAATGAATGAGTATTGATTGTTAATGAAAAGTATAGATAATAGAGAAAAGAGTGTAAGGAAATTCTTCGACTTTAAATTCCAGGGTGTGACAATAAAAAATAGACACCAACAACAAATCAATAACTAAAATATGAACAAGAGTAGATGTTTGTTAACTGGTACACTCTTAAATATTTAAAGAATCCACCATCTATAAGAAAAGCTTACATGTCCAGCTTCTACAAGTGCATGAAGAACGATGTTGTACAAATCAGTTATTTTATGAGGCTCCATTTCCAGTAACATCTTTTCTGCCATTTCCAGACGCTGGAGCATCTCAGGTATCATTCCCTCCATTCCAAGGGCTCTTATCTGAAATTTAGAGGATGTGTAGTTAAAAAAATACACGCATTAAGCATTTTTAACAAAACTTAGAACCTTCGTTGAATTTTATATGAAATTGACCAGGTGATTTTTATAGAGAAAACGTAAAGAAATTACCCAAAAAAATGTAACGTAAAAATAAGATTAAATTAAATTAGTACAGTTTATTGATGGTTTAAGCAAGAAATAAGGAATCATTCATGAAGCGCATCAAATGTGACAAATCTGCTGCAGTGGATGTTCACTAATAGCCCCAAAGGAGAGAAGTGGCAATAGAGCATGTTGTTCACATGGCGAGAGGACCTGCCGATCAAGCATCCTGTGGTGGCATAGGCCTGTTAATTGGTGATTTTCAGGACCATTACGATATAAAATACACTTCGAGAAGCTACTTCTGTAAATGTATAAATGCATGATTATCTTAGACTATTTTATTCTCCATTGCTTTTATTCATTTTTTACTAGTTTTCAGCCTAGATTTGATACTGAAAAACCTCTTTTATAACCTTGTACACTTCTCTATATTCTCAATGTTTTAATGAAAAAATTAAGTTAATATTCAAACCTCCTACATGATATCAGAACCTTAATCCACCCACTTGCTTTTCTCTCTCCTCACTATATCCCTATCCCTCGGATATTTTCACGCAGTTGAACCCCTTCTTCCAATTGTCTCTCTTGGACATGCCTACAAAATCTCCTACAAACCCACGCCTCTATAAAATCTCTAATACGTAAATCTATCACATCTCCAAAACCTAACTCCACCACTCCAACTAATTAAAAAAAAAGGCTAACATCTCTATATCATCAAAAAGCAACTTTAATCTTTACATGCTGTTCTAATACGCCGCACACGCCTCCAATTCTTCAAAATGACTGAAACATTCAAAATAAACCTAACATATATATGCTATCCCTCTTACACCAAGCTTACAAACCTAGAGCAAGCCTCCACCCTACAGGTACCTCTCTCCAAAACACTTTCTTATCATACTCTCTTCCATAAAAAAACTCCATAGAAACAAATAAACAAAAGATTTTCACTCTACATCGCTTCTCCACAAACAGGACTCTCCTATCTCCTCCATACCACCAACCTCAACAATAAGGCCACCATTCACCAATCTCTACAAAGAGCTGGCGCACATAAGCCATGATTTCAAAATCCTCTTTTATGTTTTGTTGCCACGTGTAACTTCAACACCAGCCTTCTGGTAGGCAACAATAGGAAAGAATAAAATTAATCACTGAAAACAGAATTTCAACAATTGCACCAAGCAGATTTTATGAAAGAAAACAGAAGGAAAACACACTTGATTGCTAGAAGATACATGTGATACTTTATTCGAGAGGAGGATCTATCCTTCCAAAATCTCTAGATGCCGCTAGAGCCCAAGACGCTAAGCACCAAACAAAAAATGCAGCAATATTCAAGATGCCCTAACCCTAAACCAAAACTCCTATTCAAAACAAACATAAAAATAACCCAAAAGGACCAAACAATGCCCCTCTCTCTCTCTCTCTCTCTCTCTCTCTCTCTCTCTCTCTCTCTCTCTCTTCCCTAAGTAGTGGACCCCATCCCCAAGGCGGTAGAATTTTGAGCCTGCTGTAGGTGATGAGCCTGCCCAAGAGCTGGGTCGGTTAGACTAGTCCCTCCTGGACCAGTCTAGGCATATCAATACCCCGCTTCCAAAAAACCATCTTGTCCTGAAGGTGAAAATACGGGAATTGATCTTGCACCCTCTCATAAGGTTTGCATGTAGCATCAAAATTTGGGAAGACTTCCACTTTATCAACGCCTCCTTTAGCCCTCCTGATGCGGAACATCCAACAGTCCATGCCTATCCGAGGAGGAGCTGAAGATCGACGGTCGAGATCCCTTCATTTTATCTTATTTTATTAATTATAATTTTTATTTAATTATGCATTTTTCTTTTTTACCCTTAAGGGATTTGTTTTATGTAAGCCCAAGGGGCAAAATTGTCTTTTAGTTTCTTTTAAGGCCTATATATAGAGGCATTTGCTCTTGTATTAGGAGATGATAGATTATTAATAAAAAAAATTGTGTTTTGCACTTGGGTTCTTTGGGAAGAACGTTAGTGAAATCCCTATGGGAGGGAGTCGGAGTTTCCACCAGCCGCAGGATGGGTCCGGGCTCGTGGCGTGAAGTCCCTTGGAGAAGGGAAACGTAGTACCCGTCAGCCGCAGGATGTGTCTGGGCTCGCGGTTGTATCTTTGATATTTTGTTTATTTGCTTTTGTTCATTCTTATTGCTCTTCGTCATTATCTTCATCTTCTTCCTCCTCCCCATCTTCGTTTGGCCGCCGGATTCACCTCCACCTCATTAGCCGCCGGCCGAGATCCTCCTCCCACCCTCTTTGGGATTTCCTAATTTGGTTGGGTTAATTTAGGGAATTAATTTGAATTTGAAATTATTCAAATTCAAATTTCAAATTCTTTCCTAATTTGGTTCCTCTATTTTAGGAAAGTTCGTAATTTACATCCATTTGAATTTGAAATTTAAATTGGAGTGAATTATTCTCTTTCCTAATCTTTTCAAACCAAATTAAGAAGTCTTAATTAGCCTAATTAAATTCCACATAGCTTGTGCTTGCTGCCGACCCCCTATATGGCCAATTAGGATTGATTTCCTAATTGACTCCTATTCCCCTTTAGAATATTACCAAATCTCCCCTCCATCACTCATCCGAGATTTCCATTACCTGTCTTAATTCATTTGGTTTCCTAATTTAAGAAATTTACTTAGGAAATCCAATTCCTTCCCCACCGTTTATCAAACCGCCACCCAGCTTCTTTCCTGTCTCAGCTTGACACCCCTCCCTCTCTCTCCAATCACCTCTCTCCCTCTACCTAAGCCAAGCACTTTGAAGCCTTGAGCTCTCTTCTTCCAAGCTCCTATTTTTACTTTGCATAAACTGAAATTTCTTCTAAATTACTGGAGAAAAGCTGAGATTACTTTCAGATTTTTGGAAACGACATTTGGAAGTTGAGTCCGTCTCCGTATCTCTCAGACCCTTCCGTTGTTCCCTCCTTCCCTCATGCAGCCATGGTTTAAAATTGCGCAATATGAGGCTCGCCTTGAGGCCCGCCTTTGCGCAATTCCAGTGAAAAGCGCCTTGAGGCTTACGCCTCAAGTTTTTTTTTATGAGGCTAGCGCCTCAAGTTGGTTGAGGCCCGCCTTAAGGCGCGCCTCGCCTCACTGGCTCGAGGCTTACGCCTCACCCAATATATATTAAAACTTACATAAATCCTGAAGTAAAGCCGCAAACAAATCACACTTTGTGTACCCCCTAGTCGCAGCAACTTCCTCTCAACTTCCTTAACCTCTAACCCGTTGCCATTTTTTAACATATTATTTGAGTATTATATAAAAATTTACTTTTAACATTTATTTGCACTTAACATAATTTTTTTATTATAAGGCTCACGTCTCAAAATGCCTTGAGGCTTACACCTCGCCTTACAAAAAAAAAAAAAGCCTCAATATCTAATTGCACATTTTTAAACATGGTGATGATAGTGCTGATGACTTATGAGTTCTTATGTGATATGTCATTGCTATTTATTTTTGGAATTATATGTTAATGAAAAGAATACTATGATTTGGGAAAGATGGAGTTTGAGTTTGACTATATTTCATGTTATCTTATTATTGGGATATTTTGATTTCACTTCATATCTTGTATATTTTTATATTTTATATATTATTTACTCATAGTATATATAAAATTTATCATTTTATATTTAAGCGATTTTTTAATTTTGAGGCTTACGCCTCAAAACGCCTTGAGGCTTACGCCTCGCCTCACGAACGAAAAACGCCTCAATACCCGATTACGCAATTTTAAACATTGCATGCAGCCGGCCTGCTCTTACCTCCCCTCTCTCTAACCGCCCAGCTCCCTCTCATAACTCTCAAAATTAACTCTAGAGAAGGAGAGAACAGCAAGGGAACTCTCAATCCCTTACATCACTTCCTTTCCTCCAATTGATCACGTAAGCTTGATATTTTTTCTAAGTGGGATTGCTGCTCAGAAATCCTAAAAGTTGGAGAACTGCTGTCCAAGATTTCTAAAGCTGATTTTGGGAAGAAAATCTGAGAATTTCCAAATTCTTCCTTCTCCCTAGCAAAGCCACCTCCACGTTCTACATCACCTCCTCTCTATCGCACTCCTTGTAGCTCAAGGGGTTCCAATATCACTTCCAAATCTTTAGTCAATGTTGCCGACAACTCTGAACTCGTTGTTTGATCTCCTACAGCTCTCCTCAACTGTGATACATAAAAAATTGGATGTATGGTGGCGTGTAAGCGTGTTGGCTCAAGAAAATGGCATGAATGCATGAATCCTGCTTTGCAACCGTAGGATTCCATTTCCCTTAAGTCAGATTGTAGTTAACCAGATTTTTCCTGAGGGTAGTGTCAGGGTTTAATTAGATCTCAGGTCCTTACTTCCCATAAGCGCAAACACTCATAGTTAATTACCTCTCTTAACATGTAGGAGAGAACTCTCGATTAAAGATGAATAAATTTTAGATATTTTTAGTCTCAATAGTGAGAAAAATGGAGGTAAACCCGATCAAGATTCCATGGTTCCATCATCCCGGCTATACCGTAGATTTCAGTCTACCAACGCTAACAATTATTGACCATAGTGTGTAGAAAATCTGATTAGCAGTAATGGGTTGCCTCCTCTCAGGGATCCTGAGTAAACTGAAGTTGTTAGATGTGAGTTTTAATTTTTGGAGGTGTTTTGGGGTTTACATCTATTAGAATACCCAGAAATTGATTTGGTTGACAGGTTTTAAAACTATCATAGAAAGTAGCCAGGGGATTTAAATTTTAATAGGGCTTACTGCTCTATTTATGAGTTGCCCAAAGATGAGTCTTACAACCTAACTCTACAACAAGGCTGCCCGGGGATTTTGTTTGGATTTGGGGTAGGTCTTATTATTTTCCTTAAGAA